TATACTGGAACTATTCTTCAGTAGTCAGGCTTGTTATATTAGCATTTTTCAATTATTCTTAAGAAATTACCCCCTATGTTTTGAAATTTTTATCTCGATTTTCAACCAAACAAAAACCATATGACTAGAGATTTGCCGTTTATTATGGCTAGAGTGGAAAGGAGTGAGAACTTACGGAAGATTTGCCCAAACTAAAATATTCACTCAACTAACCTGATAATAACAAGTCGGTAACAATTTTCATTTCCTAGTGTATTCTTAGTAAAGCAAAATTACAGGTAAACTGGAAAGGTGAAAAGGTACTTGGACCAATTTCAAAAGAAGTATTTTAAATGAATACAGTGATATATAAATCTTTTAGAAAAATTTGCAATAATAATTTTCCATGAAATAAAAATCCTTGAAGCAATGTTCATTTCATCATTTCTGTTAGGAATGAATGAAATCTCCATCTCTAATTCAATAGGTCTTAAATATTCAAAAATTTGCTAAGTTAAAAATCGAGTAATGCATTTAATGTGCCGTTATCCCCAGGATATCACTTACATTTTAATAATATTTTTCATCGTACACTTCTCAGAATAAATTTCAATCTTTTTAATTTTGCAAATATTTATTCCCTTACAAAAAAAAATGATTAGTATAAACTTTGTTGTATTTAATATTTATTTAAATAGTTTAAGTTACTTCATATTAAAACTTCTAATTACTGGCTCACTGACATTAGTTATAGAAGCTATTTGCGCTATAAATGGCAATACAAATGGCAATCAATCTTTAAAAAATATGCTATGTTAGTCAGCTAATTTTTTTATACTCAGGAATATTTATTAATGATAAATAGCCAATATTGATGTTTAAGATAAGGAAAAGGGAAATACAAGTTGGTTTGACTTACTTCGCACCATTTCGGTTTCGTTATCGAAATCTTGAATTCTAAGTTTAGAGGGGATATTCCCCACAATGATGCTAAATTAGAATCTCATCTGAATTGGGATCGCGAAACTAGACCAGATTGCCTCTTTGTTGTTATAAACACTGTCCAGGGAGCAGATTCTCCCTTCGAATGTTAGAGATACTAGGAAGTTAAAGGCAAGATTCACTAAGGCATCGTTATACATATACATATATGGCCTTTTGCCAACAACTGGAAGTAAATAGATAAGTTATAATAAAAATTTAAATTATTCAGAATATTTGAAAACTCTTAACTTTTCATTATTTTAATAAACAGCAAAAAATACTAAATATTTATGAATTTGTATATCTTTGAAAATGATTCAGAGTATTTTAAATTTGAAACATCTGTTATGAATAAATAATCAGAAACATCGGCGTTAATTTTTAAAAATATGCAATATTGATGCCTAAGATTATTTTATTTCAAACCCTACAGAAATTACGTTCCCCAAATATATATTCAGTACCAGAATGTTTAGACAGATAATATATAATTTAACTCTTTCAAATTCCTCTTTGTTGTTTCAAGAACCTATCACGGATATACCCAAATTCTTGCCTTGAATCTTGAATTTTCTTCATGATTCAAGACAAGAATGATGGATCTTTGGATCTTTCTTTCGGGTATTTGGAAAAATTCGTAAACAATTCTTCCATTAAAATAATACTTTTTTAAAGGCACATATTCTCTTTCTATAAACCGTTAGTTTAAACTCAAAATAAATACTTTTAAAATTAAATTTCTTTATTTAACATATATGATTCAAGAGCATTTGAGGAGAATGAAAATATTTTTAATTCAAATTTTCTAATCAAGATTATATACATTATCAATGTTTTCAATTAAGAACATTTTAAATTTATATTAAAAAAGGCATTTAATAAGGAAAAATATCAAACTTTATTAAAGTTCACAAATTAAGAAATTTATAATTTATTACTCCATATGAAGGAAACAAAGAATAACTTTAATGTATGAATAAATAAAATATAAAGACTTAGGAAATTGAATCATAATTGTGAGTGCTTATAAGAATTTCTAGCATAAAAATATAAAAACAAAAAAATAGATAGGAAAATATCAATTTTAAGAGAAATATCCATTAATAAGGGAAAATATCCATCTTAAGAGAAATATCCATTAATGAGGAAAATATCCATCTTAAGAGAAATATCCATTAATGAGGGAAAATAACCATCTTAACAGAAATATCCATTAATAAGAGAAAATATATCTTAATAAAAATATCCATTAATAAGGGAAAATATATATCTTAAGAGAAATATTCATTAATAAGGTAAAATATCCATCTAGGGAAATATCCATCTGCTTTAAAGACTGTCCCCAATCATCGCAACAACTAATATATATGAGTTTTAACTGTTTCGAAATAAATTTTTTTCTTGTAATATAATTTTAAAATATTCTTTACTAGTAACTCGATAGTTTTATTCAGCTTTATCAAGACGGGATCTCAAATTCTCAATAACAATTGAATAAGAAATTGGTGGAGTTTTAAGCTAATATTTCTGTAACATAGTAACCAGTTGCTCACAGCATAAGATGTATGCTTGGAATCATTATCTTCTTGCAATATGCATTTTGATTTCGATCCCAGTTTGGCAGCACTGTCAGTCAAATTTGTCTTCAATATATCAAGATACGCCATCTTACTCATGATTCCATCAATGTAGATGTTGTACGCATTACTAACCCATGTCTATGCTTATGGTTGGAATTGAATACTTTGGATAGAGCTTGTAGAGAGTTTGCACCTGGCTTTTACCACATCGCACCAAACCCGTAACTGTCGAAAATAACCTTGTTTTTATAATTGAAAATAAGTTTATTATAAATATCTTAAAAATCGTAAAAAAAGTGATAATTTGCAAATTGAAAACTCTTAGTACTTATTTTAAATAACTTAAAGTTAACAGTAAGAACGAAGAGTTTCTTAGAAGTGATTGAAGCAAATTTTGGACCATATTTTTAGGAATTATCTTTTTATGATTCAAAATTTTTCTATTTAAAGTTGAGCTCAAAATTCTTTTTCAGATTTTTCCTGCTATATTTTATAACTGTCTAGGTTTGATAATTAGATTAATTTAGGTTATAACTGTCTATTAACGTAATTGTTAATTTATAGCTATGTAGACAAGAATTAGCAGTTAATTCCGGTTGACATAACGAAGAATTAACGGTTACTTTTAGCAGTGGTACTTGACCTCAATGCAAGATGGCATTAAGAGTAGGCTACTTTTTACACAAGTTGAATTCAACTCTTCGGATAGGAAAAATTTTTAGTAGTTAATTTCTGCAATTATTTAAGAGTGCTTCACAGCCTCGACGATAGGTGAAATTAAGAGTAGTACGAATTTTAACACCAGTCCATCCGCCTTTGATATTAGCACATTTGAAGGTGTGTTAAAAAATTCATTTTTTCGACAGGAGAAGATTGATTAACGTTTTGTTAAATCTAACTGTTGCAATTAAAACTGTTGCAACTGTTAAAATTAACTCCAGTAATGTTCAACTTTCAAACTTGTGGCTGTGTTATTTTTAACTCCACATAGATTTAACATGTTTAAAACTTAAAGGATGCTTATTGAACATTTCTGTCGCTTGACACTTATTATATATATATTTATGTTTTTTTTAATTTTATTGTTTTTAATTGCTTTTGCAGGATTAAATTATAAATACATATTTTGAATATCTTATAAATGAGATTGCTCTGATCGCTTAAAGTTATGATAGGTTACGATGATATTATATAATAATAAATATATTTCCTTAATTCTAATTCATCAATTTTATTAAATTTTTTATCAGCAAAATTTGTCAAAATAAAGAATGCTAATCAAAATCGAGCACAGGTGAATACTCTTTGTTTGTAATATATTAATAAATATTGAACAAAAATATTTCTTCTGAAAGAGTATTATTTTTAATTGAGAACATATTTTATAGAGGGATCAACAGATAGATTTTTATACATAAAATTATGGTTGCCATTTTCAGAAATGCATTTAAGAAAAATTCTTAAAATTTAAAAATCAAAAATTTCATATATTAAAACCATATTTATTTTATCAAACATTTTTTAAAGAATTTCTATCATATATTTATAATCATAGATAAATTTTCATTTTATTTAATTAATCAATTCACTGTAATTAAAATTTTCTAACAACAAATCTTTTCTAAAAATGCTGTATCTTTTAATATAAAATTTTGAGAAAAGAAATTCAATCAAAATGCAATTATTTAATTATTTTGGTCCAGTATATCGAATCAAAAAATTTAACTCTCTGCTGAGGAAAAATAAATTTATTACAATTACTAGGTGCAGAAATATAACTCAAAAATGCAACTTTCCTCTTGGCAGATCTCCTGATAAATATATCCTATTGCATAGTATTCATGTACCTAACTTAACAAGACATTAAAAAATTTAAGAGTAATAAATTTAATGGTTAAAATTAACCGTCAATTTATAATAACATTAACGGTTAAAGCCGTTAACGGAAAATAACAGTTTTCCCATCTCTAAATGTGTCATCTGTTTAAAATATTCTAATGGTTTTTTTATATAGTGAAATATTTAAACAATTTTTTTGCAAAGATTTATCTTTATTTTATAACTTTCATCAACTGGATTTCCTAATGATTTTCCATTTTTATCTCATTAACTACCAAGAAACACAAATTTTGCCATATAAATATATAGTTATGAGTTAACCGTACTATAAATATGTTGTTGTTTCTTATCCCACTTGGCTGGCCAAGCCCACGAGCCCATATGGACTCATGATTAAAGGGGAAGGAAGCAGCTTCTGTTGTGATGGAGCACCCGTAGGTAGAAGCCTGACTTTTGCTCCGTGACGCTCTTACAGTCATAGAAGACCGGGGCCTACGGCTTAAAGTGGATTCCGAACCACTACAAACATCCATGGCACCGCCGGGATTCGAACCCGAAACCTGTGGCACCGAGCGCCAGAGCGCTAGACACTCAGCCATTCAGGTCCCAAATTTTGCCAACGGCACGCAGTATTCTCAGGTGGTCACCCACCCAAGTACTGACCGCGCCCAATGATGCTTAACTTCGGTGATCTAACGAGAACCGGTATATTCAGCATGGTACGGCCGTTGGCACTATAAATATAGATTGTAATATAACTCTGCTATATTCACAGATGGAAAAAATAAGTAACCTAAAATGTATACTCTCAGTTTTGTTAATTCAATTTTTATGCAAATCCTTTATTTGCAGTTTAAAATAATTTTTTTGTGTCTATGATGTTCGAAATATGGAACATTGCATATCTTACATCAGTGAAATGCTAATAATAACTCATGAATTTTAGACAATTTTGGTGAATATTTTTGAGATGCTCTCGGATTTTAAGATGAAAAGAAATTTTCTTGCTTTTAAATTTATTTCTCAGGATTCTCTATTATTATCTAATTATTTAAAATGAAACAACTTTTAGAAAAATAAATTCCTTGAAATAAACGACATACGTTACATACAATAATGGATCTTAAGATTTTATTTTAAATGAACAACTGCTATGCTCAGAAATTTACATCTAACTGAATTGCTGATTATTTTTTAACGACTAAAAATGCTCTTTTGGGAATTGTAGTTATTCAGCGTTTCCTTTTTTGCTTCATTACATTTAATTTTGGCGTATATCATCAAAATTCAAATTTAAAATGTCAAATAAAAAGGTTTTTTTGGGGGGGGGGACACATAAACCATTTATATTTACAAAGCTTGTAAGAAAGATAAATATTTTTGTACATAAAATACATAACATAAAATACATTTTGTACATAATATTTACATAAAATAAATTTATTAAATATACATATCTATTCAATGTGGTTCAATACATTTACATATAGTTTCAAAAATATTAAATATGTATTAGTTTCTTTCTTTTAAAGTTTTCTAATTATTTAGAAATTTTTTCATGATCTTAGAATAAATGTAAGACTTTATTGCATCCAGTTATGTAATAGAATTTAAAGATTGCTAAAGAAACAAGATACCATCTTATGTGTTATGGCGATAGACAAAAGATTGTTTTTAATGAATAACAAAGAAAAGCCAAAGTTTTCGTCGGAATCAACTATAAACTTAGATTCTCGAACGTTATTCGTATTATTATTTAGGAATTCTCCTTACTATTATTTATCATCTTAGAATAAATGTATACTTTACATTATTCAGTTATGTAATATAATTTAAAGATAGTTAAAGAAAAAAGATACCATCTTATGAGTTAGGAAGATAGACAAAAGATTGTTTTTAATGAATAACAAAGAAATGCCAAAGTTTTCACCGGAATCAACTATAAACTTAGATTCTCTAACGTTATTCGTATTATTATTTAGGAATTCTCCTTACTATTATTTATCATCTTAGAATAAATGTATACTTTACATTATTCAGTTATGTAATATAATTGAAAGATAGTTAAAGAAAAAAGATACCATCTTATGAGTTAGGAAGATAGACAAAAGGCTGTTTTTAATGAATAACAAAGAAATGCCAAAGTTTTCACCGGAATCAACTATAAACTTAGCCTCTCTAACGTTATTCGTATTATTATTTAGGAATTCTCCTTACTATTATTTATCATCTTAGAATAAATGTATACTTTACATTACATTGAGTTAGGAAATTCAGAATTGTTACGGTATGCATGTAATATAATTGAAAGATAGTTAAAGAAAAAAGATACCATCTTATGAGTTAGGAAGATAAACAAAAGGCTGTTTTTAATGAATAACAAAGAAAAGCCAAAGTTTTCGTCGGAATCAACTATAAACTTAGATCTCGAACGTTATTCGTATTATTATTTAGGAATTCTCCTTACTATTATTTATCATCTTAGAATAAATGTATACTTTACATTATTCAGTTATGTAATATAATTGAAAGATAGTTAAAGAAAAAAGATACCATCTTATGAGTTAGGAAGATAAACAAAAGGCTGTTTTTAATGAATAACAAAGAAATGCCAAAGTTTTCACCGGAATCAACTATAAACTTAGCCTCTCTAACGTTATTCGTATAAGCTTTACATTGTTCGTCTTACAATTGACTTACCGCGTAATGTATCATGGGATTGTTACGGTATGCAGCTGTTCAAATATAAGCGCTCATGATTAACAGGAAAAGCATTCTCTTGCGATACAATATTAACTAATTCTCTAAAGAGCCAGCTGCTGTGTTTACTGCAGTTTAATAATCCAAAGGACTTTTCAAGAGAAAGCAGTTTTAATGTTACAGAGCTTTTCTTCTCCCTATTGCTCTCATCATTTGATTAATGGGACCTACTTATCAGAAACATCGGAAAGAGCTTCAATTGAATAACACATTCTATGAAATTAAATTGTTTCTACGTTGATAATTAAAAGGAAATTTTGAATGGGTTCCATATTTAGCAAGTAAGTGGGTAATATGCAAGTTAAACAAAATTATACAAAATATTTGGTTGCTTCCATCTGATGATTATTTCACCATCAATACATTAAAAAATGAAAATGCTAACTAAAAATTGAAATATTTATATACAAGAGGGATCTGTATATTTACTAACCAAAATTAATTGTCCTTTTCCTTGTTTTATGAATTCTTTCAAGCAATTATAAGAATGAATAGTATTTGAAATAATTCAGTTTAGTAAAATAAAGTTTATAGAAAATTAACTATTAACAATTGTAAATAAAACGTTTATCACTGTCTAAATCAGATTGCCCATGAAGGGCATTTTTATTTGAATAATTTGTAAGAGATATTTATGTTGTATAGCGTAATGATGCAAAACGTTTATTGCATCAAGATTCATTTTGATATTTTATAGTAACCATTTGGCTCAAAATTTTTACCTCTGTTAACAAACTTTAATTAATGTCATGAATAACAGGGAAAAGAAAAAAAACAATAACTGTTATTTAATAGTAGACAAAGTATTCAAAAACAAACCGCTTATTGAATGAATCAAATGAATATGAGCGATAAGTCATTGTAGAACATCATCAATCAGTGAGTCAGTCAGTGAAATGACTTTGAGAAGCACAGCCTGGTGCGAATGGCAAAAATTTAGAATAAGGTGTTCAATTGATAAACAATTGCAATACATAATTATAACAGTGTCCAAGATCTTATTAGCATTCTTTTCTATATTTATTCCTACATCTATAGCCGTTTCCGATAGTATTAGCAGCCCCATGTTTCTAAACAAAACTTGAAGGTTTTGTATGGCAGACCAGTATTTTAAGTTTGTGGAAAACTATTGAAATTACTCTGTTTCTTAAGTAATTAAGGTAATGAAAATAGGTAAAGTAATTACAATTAATTACTACTTTAATTAACATTCTTAGAATAATGGACGTTTTGAAAAATAGAGTACTTTATTTTAAAACGGCGATGAATTTGCGATAAGGGGAACCTGCAATTTGAAGAAATATTAAGTTAATACACCATGTAAATAACTTTCCAAAACGGAAGTTCTTTACATAGTGCTCTTTACGAGTTAGCTATTACAAAGGAAAGTTATTTTAATAGTTCCTTCACGAGATGACAGATATTATAGTGTGCAGCATAGAATAGAATGTTTAAGTATTGTATCGGATTTTAGAGATAAAACTTTTCAATACAATACTTAAACATTCTTTATTGTCAATAAATATTTCAGATGTTGGAAATTTCGTATACCATCTTGAGAGTTACATATTATATATTTAACTCCAGAGAAGTACACTTTTTAACGATTTTATTTTTAAGTTAAACGAATATTTATTTGATATAAAACACTTACTCCTATTCTTTCAAAGCCTAATTTTCAAAGAATATTTCATAATTTAATTATAGGGCCGATAAAGGATACTACGCACTCGACCTTAATTAATTTCCAATGATAAAGCAATAATATAAAAATTAAAACCAAAGAATGACAAAACAAAAAAGAAAATCAACAAACAAAAATTTAATACATATATATATATATATATATATAATAAAATACATACAGGTAGCAGCAATAGTAATATAAATAAAAAAATGACCAAAGTCATTGCTGCAAAAGCTCTCAAATTCGCCTTTACATGATCGTTTCACAGTCACAATAAGTTTGGTAATAAGCAAAATTCAATGAAACTTTTGAAGAAAGTATAAGAACTCAAGACGAATTCAAAAAGTCATATACAGATAGACAACGTGTCGACATTTAGAGGACAAACCGATGGAGCCGCAAGTGCGCCTAATACTAGTGACATCATTCAGCCAATGGTTATAAATATGGAAGGTATTATAACTGTACATCCCATTGACGTTGATTTCAAGAGGTTCAATGTATATGATGTGGGCTGGAGGAATAGCCTGGCGCGGTTTAACGAGTTGTTTAATCAGAATGAATTAGGGTATCATTACAGTGTATGTAATCGTCTTTGGTTGCAGAGTCATTTGTGAGCAGTGAATACGGCTCCTCATTGCTCATTGTTAGATCCAGATCAGTTCGCACCCACAAGTATCAAGGTAGAACCTTTGATCAAGTAATGGTTGAGTACGACTCTGCACAGCAGACACAGCTCGTTTATGTGACTTTTAGTCGAGTGACTACCATCGAGGATCTCTACTATGTCAACAAACGTAGTATTCATAAATTCCATTCAGTTTTGTTCCAGAGGCATCAACTATCAGCGGTCACTTATACTATGAGGACCATTATAAGTCAGGCAGATTCTAGCTCAGTTTTTCAACCCAGCCAATGATTGAAGGTGGTCTGTCATGATTATCAAAAAGTCACTGCTCATTCTCAGGACATTAGAAGCGACGAAATACTCTCGCAGTTTTCCTACTTGACTTTTTCTGATATTTGGATGGCCAATCATATACCCGTGAGGTATAAGGACTTTTTACAAGCATCCTGACGACGACAATGCGATTCTCTATAAAGAGGAAAGGCAAAGGGAGGATCTCCGCAGGCAAATTGCCAGAGAATTTGCTGTCTACAGAAATTTCCAAGCCTTTATCACCTGTGAAGTAATTGCTACTTATAATAAATAAATGGGAGTCGAGTCTCGTGGGCGCACAGTCGATCCCGGAGACATATGTGCTAGTGCAGTTAAGTTAAAG